TTATAGGTTTTAGCGGAAGTGGAATCAAAAAGAATTTTAAATGCAAGATTATATGTTTCAAAATGTTACATAAAATTTGTTCCTGAATATATGATGAAGCGACAGAGTGTAGACAATTTGACAAAACTATTTTTTAGAAATATATCCGCTAAGTTCATTTGTGACTAATATTCTTAAAAAATCAATTTTTTTTATTTTCAAAACTTAATTTAGAGTTATTTTGTTTTTGTCAAATTTAAAATTTATTGTTCTTAATAGACTTATAGGAGACTGTTTTTTAAAGATATCATTTCGATGATGTCAGTCAGTACTTGACACTCTTTCAGCAATAACTCGTAAACAACTTATTATCAATATAAATTAATCAAGGAAATCATAGTACAAGTACTGTCAGGCTTAATGACAACATTGATTATATGAACCCCATACTTCTGTGTATATATTTTACAGATATAAAAGCCGTAAATAAATATTTGTTAAAATTGTAAATTTTTCTACGATATCTAATAGTAAAATTAAAAACAAAAAAAATTTAGAAATTAATTTTTGCAAGAAAAGCAAAGCAAAGCAATGTTTGAAAGATTGGCCGGTGCTATCCGTTACCATGGGTTGAATGTGTCACGGATAAGATAAGTTAACAGTCCTCAAAAATTTCATTTGCTCCATTTATCGTAAATGCGTAGATTCTCATTTATTTAACAAATAATAATAATAAAATTAAATGGTTCACACTTGTAATTAATTTAACTTTTTTTAATATTTTTTTTTTCGTTTTTATTGAAAAAATAACAAAGATTAGATTGCATGAAATATTGTTAATATGTTGAGTCCACACAATCTGATATCTGCAAAAATTTGATAAGCGAATTTAAAACAGAAAAAACAAAAACAAAAGTAAAAATAAAAATAAAAATTAAAAAATGTTTATGGTTTCAATTAACTTTGAAAAATTAGCAATACTCGCACATAAAGTAAATACAAAACACTTGAAAAGTATTCATCATATGAAATACTTTGAAGAAATACTTGAACTTTGAACAGAAGTATTTGCTATTATGTTCTTTTTTTATTATGTTTACCACACCAAATTTTTGAACATTAAAATGAACTTTTATTTTGAATTTAAAACCGGAACGTGAAAACAAAATACTGATTTTAATTAGCAACAGAGGCGTCAGTATAATTTAACACGATATCTTTTTAAAAAATTCCCATCAAACAATCTTGGACTCATGAAAGATGATGATATAACCTAGTGGTAACCCGTATATCAGCAGGCACAGTCATTAGAAATATTTTAAGTTAAGTTGACTTAAGGTCTTTTGGGTATAGATATCCCTTTTCTAAACCCCTATTTAGTCTATATACCGCTACTAGTTTTAACGCAACAGACGATATTTTTGATGATTACATTGGGATTATCGGATAGACATTTAAGAGACGAAACACCAATAGTGAATGCAAGACAGTGATTTAGTATTTGATTAACACTTTTCAAGTGTTAGAATAATATTAATTAAAATTAGGATAATCGGATAGACATTATATAAGACATAATATAATAACATTTTTCTAATGTTAAAAAAATATTATTTAACATTGGGATTATCGGATAGACATGTAAGAAAATGAAAATCGATAGTAAATGCAGTACAGTGTTTTAGTATTTGATTAACATTTTTCTAATGTTAGAAAAATATTAATAAACATATTATAAAACATAATAAGGCATATCTCTCCTTTTAAAAGTTCTAAATAATAATTGGTAAGTCTCTTCTCGCTTTTAAAAATTATATTTAATAACCCAAATCACGATTATTACACGAACTGAAAACAAATAGGGAAGGAAAATACTCTTCTAAGTTAGATGTCATTAGTACTTTAGAAAAACCCTCACTATTATACAATCTTTTTATAATCAATAAAATCTAAATATCTTTTAAGATAATAATCCTTTAAATTTAATGGAAGCATAAAAACTCTTCTCAAATATTAAGTGTACGAGAATTTTTGAAATCTCTTATTTTTGAATTTATTTATTTAGGACTATACATAAAGTCTTTATTTATTTATAGTGTTCACTTTAAAAATGTTAAGAATTCAGATCCCTACATTCTTAATACAAGATTTTTATAGAAAACTCCCCTACAAAAATTTGTATAGCTACGTCTTTGTTCTCACATGGGGCATTTATTTTATGCGTATTTGCGGGCATATTAAATTAATGTGATTCTATTCTATTTTTAATTATTTTATTTCATTTTTTTTATATAAAAACAAATTATTACTTATTTTATTTTATAATTTAAATGAATTACGTATTTACTTATGTATAACCTTTTACTTATCAACTATTCCAAGATTATCTTAACAATTTTCACAGGCTCCACGTTGCTGATTAATTATTAAATAATTGTGGACAATATCAGGAAACTATTAATAGTTTTAAATTATGACTAGAGTAAAAAAAAATATAAATATTCAGTAGATTAAAAATTATTAATAATACTCAATAGTTATTAAAATAATGTAAGTGTTAAGTTAAGCTGGATTTAAAAATGTTTAGCGACTTAATAAGCGTGTATCTGTTTAAAGTATACTAATAACAAAAAAACACTGGTTAATAACTTTTCTTTATTTTTTTTAACTTACCTAAAAGTGTTATTAAAAATACTATATATACCTTTCTTTATAAAATTTATACCTATACCGTTCATTTTGATATGTTCTTGAGTTTTTTTAGTTTCATATAATATTGTAGGGAAAAACTTTGACTGTTTGTGTTTAAACTTACAAAAAAAACTTACTAAAAAAAACTTTCTAATTTGAATTTAAAATTTTTTATATAATATTATTTACCATATTTAACATATGAAATACTACGAACTAACTATTCAAATCAAGCTTTTAAATAAAGAATCTATATTATAAACTTTATATTATTTATGCAGTTTTTTATGTAGGTATATAGTGTGCATTATATATGTATATTTCTGAATATACGAGTACTTTATGTTTTTTTATCTGCAATCGTTGTACAAGTTTTAATTAATCTACTTTAATTAATCGTTATCAGTCATAAATATGCATGAAAGCTGCAAAAAAAAACAGTTTCTAATATTCTTTAAATAACTATTACCAAATGCGTTAAATGTAACGTATATTTTAACGGGTTACCTTAATACCTGAAGTGGTAGATTTAACCTATATTGGGTCTTGAAGCTAATAATATTAATTTATATTAAATTGCAAATAAAGAATTACATGAAATATGTATGTATTTATGTTTGTACTTATGTATGAAATTATAAAATTATTAAAACAGTAAAAGGCATTATTCTTCTCTGATTTTATTAAAACAATTTGAATATGAAAGATATATCTCACATGTCCACAACTCTTGAAACCTATTATTATTTTAAAAATTATTAATAAAGAATTAAGTTCACTATTATATTTACAATTATTAAATCAAAAAATTGGTTCTTGAGACTCACTAATATTAAATAATTAATAAAAAGATTTAGAATATCATAATATGGTTTTATTAAAACCATATTATGTATCATAATCATATTATGATTATGATTCTCTTAATTCCTTTATTTCCTTGTGGAGCAAACGGTCTCAATTGAAACCCATTAATATATTATAATTAACAAAACCAATTAAAAAATTATATGATTTTATGTTGAGGGTGATTAAATAAAATGAAGATAATAAAGATAAATAATATTTCTCCAGGTTTTGAACAACATCGATATTACGTGATTGACAAATGCAGAGCTGGGTTTACACAAAACTGTCAAAAAATTCAATTATTTAAATAAAAATATATTTACAGTCTTAAAGAAACATTTTGTATCGGTTAATTAAGTACAAATCAAGTAGATAATTAGGTTAAGATCTTCCCACATAAATTTAAAGACGGTTAGAATGTACTATATATGTTTCATTGATAGGGATGACAGTTTAAAAAGAAATATTCATAGATATTCTATATTAATAATATATTATATACTATTATATACTATTATATATACCATTATTATAATAAATTTATAAAAACTACGTAATTGCAGTTATCTCTGCAAAATGAACCCACAACTAAAATACATTTTTATTATATATTATAGATTGATAGTTATACATAATATTAAATATTATACATACATATGTATACACTAAATTTCTGAATTGATAATATGGGATTGACTAAAGTCTTTTGGAAAAGAGGAGAGACATTCAAAACAGATCTAAAGGATTTTTCTCATCTTCCTCATAGTTGTGGGATAAATCTGAGCTTTTGAGTTTTTTCACTGAAGTTTTCATATCCTTGAACTTTCGTTTTTCTAATTAACTAATTACATAAATAAAATAAATAATAAAATTATATAAAAATAAATAAAGATATAAATATTTAGTTGCGATTTTATATGTAAATAAATAATATAATATAATTATTTATAAAAAACAAATAATAAAATGATTAATAATTAACCAAAAACTAATGAAATGAAATGAATATTATACATACATATGTGAATTAATGTAAGTTAATGTACCAGACATATTATATATCATTTCATATACATATATATATATATCTGTTAGATGGAAAATAACAAATTGGCCTAATTGTAGTTATTTGTGTGAGTGCATCATTCACACATAGACTTTTGCACAAAATTTCAGCTAAATTAATTTTAGCCATTATTAAGAATATAGGCTTATAAATCTATTGAAGGTCGGTAATATGATTTAGACAATAATTTTGGGTATGTTTATTAACCTCATATATTTTATGATACCAAATATCAAAGATTGAATAATTTTATATGCATATAATAAATAGTCAGATAAACCACTTATGGTCACACAATAAAAAATGATAAGTTATTGAAAAGATATAGTAACACAGTTCTATGTTATCAAATTTTTTTGATTACTTTTATTAGATACAAATTGATAAAATATACCAAATGTTCTGTTGAACTTACCTTTTCTAGACATTCTTGTCCAATGGCTTTTGGATCCCATTTGACGGCCTGTTGAGTACCGTTCGGCAAATTGACAATGCACCACATTTTGATATTGTTTTTTTTTAGTAAATACTATTAATATTTGTTTTACTTCACAGACTTTGTTTTACATATAGAAAAATTTCTATTTTTTTTATTTTCTACGTCTATGTATGGTAAAATCCAAGTTCTTGTTTTTTCTTTCTGTATTGTCTCTTCTGCAAATCTTCGCTCTATTTCTGTGTTTTCTATGCTTTTAATCAAAAATCTACAGGTTGATTGAATTGAAAATTGAAATTTCGTCCGTGATTTTATAAAATTTTAAATGGAATTAAAATTGAATTTAAATATTTCACAATTCCTTTTTTGTTTTTTATCGATAAACAAATTAACAAAATAACGAATTCATGAATTTACTTTAAAAAGTTTCCGTAAACTTTTGAATGTTTATATTTAGCCACGTTCGCACACGTTTCTGTCTTACAAATGTTGGTTTTAATTTGCATTTCATTTCAAAAAATACAATTTTTTCAAATTCACTAATTTGTTATATATAATTTTAATTTATTATATGGCTTTTATTTTCGTATAATTGGCAAATGTTTAAGGCCCAATGAAGTTTTATTCATAGCACAAAACACCTTACTTTAGCAACTGTTGGCGAGTTACTGAGGAAATTCACGAACGAATATTGAATATAAACTGAGGGAACTGAATATATGGTCCGGTAGAGGGTGACTCTAAATGCCGCTACATGAACATATAAGTATTAATAAAAACTCTATATTATGTTATTATTATATGAATTTGTAATGGTAGAAAAAGTACACCAAGTATGCATACACACATTTCTAAGTCAACCAAATTCAATAAGTGGATAGACTGTTGTATAGTAGCTATAATTTTTTCTTTCAGAGTTGTAAAAAAACAACATTTATTGTGGATGAAAAAAGTTGGCATCACTTTTAAAATATGTTAAATATTTTTTTTGACACATGTTTTGGCTGTGTTATGTAAAATATGAAATATATAAATTGTAAACATTAAAAAGTAATTGCGAAATTACCATAATCTCGCCCACATAATGGTTAAATTTTTTTTTTTGTTCGAACCAACTGCAAAAGAAAACAATAAGAAAAAAGGAAAAGAAAAATTAATTAATTTAAAGTAAAAAAAAAAACAAAATGAATATAAGAAGGGCAAGCATATTTATGTTATATACTTAAATTAATTTATTTATTTATATATTTGAATTTATTTATAAATAAAATGGTTGTAAAATTTTAACGGATAACTGAAATTTTGCAACATGTTTCCAGCGAACATTCACAATAGACTCATTTTTGAATTTGGCCGCACTAAAACTTAAGATTTACAAGTTTTTTGCGAGTAAAATTTAACTCTGATGATTTTAAGAGTATTGTCGTTGCTTCAATTGTTTTCTTTTGTAAGTTACGAGTATTTTTTTTGTTACTTTGAAAGAAAAAATTACGGCACTATCGTATAGTAAAACTATAGTACATACAGATAGTATATGTCCAACAATTTAGAAAATATTTTAAAAAAATAAATGTGTATATAGTAGAATATATATTCCTTGGTCAGCTATATACAACATATAAATTTAAAATATATAATTTAACCTAAAAATTAAGAAAAACTATATTAGAGAATAAATAAATTATTAGAAAATAGTAATAATTTAACTGAAACAAGACCTAAATAATTCTTCTAAATCTGACTATATATAATGCTTCTCTATAATTATCGTTCTATGTATATCGTGCTTCAACTAACTCACTTTCGACCGTTTTTCTTCACGTTTTAGCTAGCGCACCAGGTATTCTGGTATTTTGTGGATTCCATGCCAAAGCTTGTCTCGGTATGCAATTTCTCGGTTGTCTGACTGTATGGCCTGTCCACTTTCACTTTCTCGTTTTTATGTCAGTTTGTGCTGCTTTTTGATAGAAATATACTAAAAATAACGATCGAAATAAAAGTTAAATTTCCTAAAAAACAAAACCGACTTTACTAAATCAAAACTGTCCCACAATGGGTTTCTGAGCTTAGTGAGTCCCAAGTCACTTTCACTTTCTTGTTTTTATTTCGGTTTGTGCTGCTTTTTGATAGAAATATACTAAAAATAACAATCGAAATAAAAGTTGAAATTCCTAAAAAACAAAACCGACTTTACTAAATCAAAACTGTTCCACAATAGGTTTCTGAGCTTACTGAGTCCCAAGTATCTTGCTAGAGACTGCAATCATTATTATCAAATCAAAGCTATTTAATTGACCCAATCAAAAAGTGTAGGTCTTTAGTATACCAAAACACAACTGCACACATCGCTTGCCGCTCTGAAATACACACAAATCAGCTGCCCGAGCTCTCTTGTGGGTATGGAATGAATACACATTTGTTTGAAATGTATCTAAGAGATACAATTCATTTGTAATATGCTATTTACATTTTAACAAGAATTTCTCTTTTTAAACAAAATTTCTGCTCTTTCATTGGTCGCTCTTAATATATTTATTGGCGCGCCTGTGTTTTTATTTATAGACCCAAACTTGGTAAAACAATAAAAAAAATATATATAAACAATAATTTAACATTTTCAAGAACGCATACAAATTCAAATTTTTTGTTTAATGCTTAACCCTTTAAAGAATCATATTTTCATTTTTATAATAAATAATAAAGAGATTTTTTTAAACAAATCTATGAGAACGACAAGAATATATAAGAGTGAAGTAATATATATTTTTATCTACTACTTCAAATAGAGTTTATGCACCCCAAAGTGTATTTGTAGAAGACTAAAAAGAACTGCATTATAAAAAAATTAATCGAAAAAAATTAATTTTCATATGAATGTCAAATACCCTTCACGCAAATAATGTGTAAGGGATGTTTTAAGCGTTTCAAATTGTGTGAAGTGTGGTGAGGGATGTGTTGAACACCGAATAAATCGTTTAAATTTATGATAATAAAAGATAAGATTGCCGATTAAGGTTTATTTGGGTCTGTTCTTTTTACCTGTTAATAAGAATCTAATTATTATGCTTTTAAGATCAAAAAATGACAACGTTCAAAATGATTTCTTGTGTAAAGTCGATAAATAGATGAAATTAATTGACTATAAAATTATTAATATTTACACTGCGACCTCTGCTATGCCTGCAGAAAGTCCCATGATTCAGGAAATTATACAAATTTTCTAGGTTCAAGAATTTAGCCAAATAAAAATATTAGACCTATTCTCTATTTAACGAATGTTTCCCTCTGCATTTTACAAAATCTGCAAATATTATAATTTTAATAATATTGTTATATTATTATTTACAATAATTATGCTTAAAATATATTAATCAACAAGTCGTATACAAAAAAGAAGAAGAAATTACACTGATTTCTTGCTTCCTAACTTCTTTGACGGTAACAACCAAACAATTATCAAGTTTCGGTTTGACGCAAAATGTCTCTCGAGGCCCCTCTGTTGCGTGCGCACCTTCTTCAATCTCACACATCAAGTCTGATTAATACTTCCTTAACTAGATCACTTCACTGGAGACACGGTCTACCTCTACGCATTCTTCCTCAAACTACTGTTTCAAATAACTTTTTCAGTGGAGCATCTTCGTCCATTCTCTCGACATGAACAAGCCAGCGTAGCCGCTGGATATTAATTCGTTATATTATATCAATGTCGAAATAAAGCTCGTATAGCTCGCGGTTCATTCGGATGTGGTAGTTGTCGCCAATACGTAGTGGACCAAATTTCTTACGAAGAACTTTTCTTTTGAACACTCCCTTATTTTCTTAAAGTATCTAGTATTCAGAATGGTGCTGCTTCATCATTCTGTGATAACGTCCATGTTTCTGTACCATACGAATGCACTGGAAGGATAAGCTATCTATAAAGTGTAAGTTTTGTTTATCGAGAGAGAGAGAACACTACAATTGTCTATTACTCTGAATTTAGATCTATTAAAACTAAGAAATAGATCTCCCCATATGAATCTCTTTAAGTACTTTTTTAACATTTAAAGATTAAAAAAAAATTAAATATATTGGTTCTGATTAATAAGTACGTTTATAGTACTACAGTACTTTAACTAAGAAAAAGGTTCGTCGAAATGTGTAAACAAATCATTAGCAATATAGTAAATCTTAAATATAACTGAATCTGTAAGTTTACAGATTATATAGTTTAATAAAATTTATAGTACAATAAAAAAAATAAGCGAACTGGAAAATTAATCAACTGCTGGATATTACCAATGAGCTGAGAAGGCTAAAGCGAACAAAACCTCATGAGTTAACATAGATCAGAACTGTCCAGAGCAGATACGATCGCGAGCCAATACAAATTGCTGTACAGATTGGTGGGTCGCAGAAACATATACATACATTCATAGTTGTTATTATAAATACATAATAACATAATAAATACGATTATAATGTTAAATTTAGTTATAGTTCAAAAATTAAAATCATGTTAGCAATTTTTTTTGAATTATGTTGTTTGGAGTATGAAGAATTCCTTCCGCCAGGCCTAAATGTTAAACAAGAATATAATGTGTTATACAACGTTTATGTAAAACTGTTTCAACAATGTCAGTATAAAACCACTATATTCACCTGTATTAGCACCATTTGATTTCTAGGAATTACCTAAGCTCAAAAGACCGTTATCAATCCTTGTAATAATAATATTTATAATATCGCGTGGAATATAGATTGGCTCACTGTGGAATCATACTAATAAAATACTATAGAAGCCTTTCTACTAAAGCAGCATGCACTGTCTTAACATTTTATAGGCGTATTCACACACCATGCAATCTATATATATGAAATTTCTACTTTACATATTGTATACAAACCTGTGTAATATATATTTCTGTAAAATACCATAATAGATAAGAATTATAATTTGTTTATAAAATAATATGTATATAATATGAATAATTATAAATGAGTAATATATAGGTTTAGGTCATGGCTGTCTAGACCAGGTGCAATCACAGTTTGGAGGACCATAAATAATAATGTATTTTGAAAACATGTCGAGGGCTGCACAAACATTAACCGCGGGCCGCATTGAGCAGCCCCGAATACTGGTGCAGTAAACCTGCACACGTATTACTTAATATATATTAAGTAAAATTCAGGAAAAGTAATAAAGTACTACTCATATCCAATAAACGATGTTTTAAAAAACAACAAAAAAAAAAAATAGGGACGTACTATATCATTTATATCAAAACTACTAATAACTACGCCTATTTCAAAAAACCAAAGTGTTACT